GTGGTGGGCAGTGGTGCCCCTCCCTATGCCAGGCCTGCCAAATCACGGTGGCAGCCCCTGCGGTGGGGAGGCATTTGGTGTGTCTCCATCGACAAACCCCCCTCTGGCTCACGACTCTGGGGAGCAGCGTGGCCGGGTGGAACGAGCCCTGGGGTTTGAGGCAGGGGTGAAAATCCTTCCCCTGGTCCCTCCAGGCATCGGCTCTCCCACTGGGTTCAAACAGCTCAGCAAAGCACCTGCAAAGCGACCGTCCCCAATGGGACGCTCTGCAGACCCTGTGCAGGATCTGACCCTACAGCCGTGCCTGGAGCGCAGCACATCCAGCGAGGGGCTGTTCACAGGGGACACACAGCTTAGCCAGAGCTCTCGCAACAGGGGTATTTTTAGCCCGTGAAAATGGTGGTGTTTATTTTTCTGCTGTTGTGCCTTTTTGCCTTTCCCAGGGATTTTATTGCTCATGAAAGCACCGGCCTTAGAGCCACACAGGTGTCTGTGCTGGCTGCTGCAGGGACCTTGTCTGCCTCCATCGCTCCAGCTCCATCTGCCCATGCGTTACCCGTCCGATATCCCCCAATGAGCCCGTTTACAGCACAATGACGAGCTGTGACTGGCAGAAACACTTCAGCTTACCTTGGACCAGACGTTTCCCTGGGCTGGGGTGCGTGGGTGGCACCCTGAACACGTGCATGGGGTTGGCAATGCGTGTGCAATCCCCCTCATTGGGATGAGGCGAAACAGAGGAACATTGCAAGCTCGTTTTATTGTTAGTGTTTCAAATCAGTATTTTTTTATTACAGAGACTCATCAGGTTGCTCACACTGTGGCAGGAATTTAATAATATAAGGCACAGGGAACATTTGGAGGTAAAAAAAGAGTTCTCAGCCTGTGAGACTTAACCATCCCTTCGCTCCTGTCAGGATCCCCTCTATAAAGCAAAATCCAAATACCTTCTCCCTTCCCTCCTGCCCATCCCTTAAACACCAAAATCCACAACAGGAAAAAAATAATACAGCCTTTCCCTCAAGCGCATGGCAAGCATGCCTCTTTCTGAGCAGAAATGTCTCTTCCAAGCCTGATGCAGCTTCCCTGGGAGCACAGGGCTGGAATTTAAGCAGGACCAAGGCCGAGGTGGGAAGCGCTCAAGGGCACAGTGATGAGCTTGATCTCAGACACAGCAGAATCACACGAGCAAGGTCAGTCCCAGGGAACAGGCGGCCGCACCCCATCTCCCTTTGCAGCCCAGAAAACACAACAGCAGAACGATCGTCGAGTACGGGTAAAGCACGCAGCACTTTCAAACCTTTATTTTTTGAGGATTTTTTACAGGATGGGATGCGTTTCGTCAGATTTGTTTGAATTTTTGTGCGCTTTCCTATTCGTTCGTTTGATCAGCCCTTTTTTTTTTTTGTGGTTTTTGTGCCCAATGATTGTTAAATTCAAGCTCTGGGAATGAATGGGAAAAAAAAAAAAGGGAAATGAAATCCTGCCACTCTGCGTCTTTCTCACCCCTCTCCATCCCCCCTACCACGAGCTGGGTGACCGCAATGTCACCCGCAGCTGCTCTGCTCCAAAAGCCCAATCCTCCTACATCCTCCAGCTCTGCCTTCCCTCGCTGGCGATCTCTCACGGGGGTGGTGGATCAGCTGAGAGGTCTTTGCGTCTACACTGACGTGTCCAAGAACATGCTGTTAGTAAGAAGTTAAGAGAAGTCGATCCGAGAGCGGATATGGAGATGGAGCGGATATTTAGGACAGGTACAGGGTCGGTCCGTGGTAAAGACACGTCGGAGAGAGAAAAGGCTGGTAAGAGCGTGTGGAAACAGCCAAGTGAGTAATCTAGTGGTAATAGATTAGGCTATGAACGAGGACTGTTATTTCTCTTAGCACCGTTACTACGTATGTTTAGATCTATATTAGCACCTTGTTCCCAGGGAAAAACAAAACAAAACAAAAGCGGTTTAAAAACCAAAGGAAGTGGGAAGGTTAAAACAAGACAAAGTTGGCAGCAGAGGAGGAAGCTGGGGCTTTAGATCACAAGATCCTTGTCTATGTCCTCTGTGGAAGGAAAAGAGAGAGACGAGGTTAGGAGGCGGATGCTGCCGGTGTCCTGCTGCTCCTGCCATCCCCCCTCCCTCACTGGCTGTGATGCTTTGCTTCATCCTGAGTGAGGATGCTTTGGGGGTGCTTTTCGGCGTCCCCTCCACCCCTGCTCCTTCCCTACTCAGTACTTACGCTCCTTAATGCCGAAGCAGCTGGCCCACTCCTCCAGAGCGATGTACTTGTCGTTGTCCAGGTCGCAAGCCTCAAAGAAGCGGGTGGTGCAGTGCTCCATGGGGATGAGAGGGGCACGGAGCGGGGCCAGCTCAGTGTGGGACAGGTACCTGCCGAGGGGACTGCACCGTCAACGTGCTGCCCGCCAGTGCCAGCCGCCCTTCCCCCAGGGCGGAGATGCTTTGCTGGGGACGGGGGCCAGCGTGGGGCAAGACGCTGGCCCCGGCTCTCTGTCTGGTTTGAGTGGTGTCCCGGTGCCCTTCCAGTGTCATGAAGGTCAAGGACTGGTGTCCGCTTGTGCAACAAGCTGTGCTGGTCACAAAGTAGCCAGCAGCTGGGGGTCCTCACCAGCCGTCCCCACCCCATGGATCTGTGTGCGTGATCGCTCTTGCACCCGTCTCCAGCTCACAGCTAAGCCAGCAGCTGCTGTTTCAGCTGTTGAAGTTATCCCGGGTCCTTTGGGCTAAGATATTTTAGGGCACTATCATGCGACAGTAAATCTGAGAAGACAGAAACTCCGCACCCGAGGGAGGTGGGAGCAGCTGGGGCTGGGAGAGGCCCCTCTTCCTGCAGAAGAGCTGTTTACAGAAGACAGAACTGCCTCTACCCCAGCCTGGTTTGCCCCAGATGTGTGCAGGGGTTGTCCCTACACAGGGCTGTGCTTCTGCCGGCAGCCACCCACTGGTGTCACATTTCCAGCCTTGAAACTTTTTGCCACCAAAATCACCCTCATCCTTGGGCAGGAATGGCTCCTGGCAGGGGTCCCTGTCCTGCTCTGCTGACACTCACCCATCAATGGGGTGCTGGTCCAGCTGCCCGAACTGCCAGTGCACAGGGAAGATGTACATGTTGTAGTTCTTCTCAAAGTCACGGGCCAGCAGCTCCACAGTGTGGTCACCGGCCTCCAGGCGCTTCTCATTCTCATGGATCTTCTTCACCTGTTGTAGGAGAGGCCAGGGAGACCTTGTCAGCAGGAGAATGAGGTGCAAGGGGGGACCTCAGTAGGGTCTTTACATTGGCTGCCCACAGGTCATTCTGGATGGAGTCCTCATATCTGCTGGGCTCCGCTGGTGGGGTCAGCTCCCAGGCTCCCTCACCAATCCCTCACCTTGAGCTTCTGCTTCTCGGTCAGCAGGTTGTTGTCCTCATCGCGCTCGTACAGGGTGATCAGCACGTTCTTGAGCCAGTCCCGCATGCGCAGGGGGAACTCGGTCAGCTCTGTGTCCAGGCAGGCAGGGATGACTGGAAGCCACACAGGGTGGTCAGTGCAGTGCCAGGACATGCAGCCCCAGACTCCCGAAACACAGCCCCAGTGTCCTCCCACTTCAGCCCTGCATCTGCCTGGACCTTTGGTCTCCCTCAGCCCATGGGCAAGGGGGCTGTGGTCTAAGTGAATGGCTCTACTTACATTTGCAAGGCCCAATGTAGTCCAGGTGCAGCTTGTGTCCCTTCTTGGTTCCCTCCAAGGTGCACTTGGTGGCAAAGAAATGGCAGGAGGAGTCGTAGGTCTTGTTGTCGGTGCCGCAGACCTGTGTGGGATGGGGAGATGCTGCGTGAGGGACAGTGAAGCTCGGCCCTGCTGTGGGGTCAGCAGGGAGAGCCTTCAAATGAGCTGTTTAACTTGTCTCCTGGGGTGGGTAATGGCTTCTTGATCACTACTGGCTGAGGCCAGATGGGGACCTGCCACCCTGACTCTGACTGTCTCCCCCACCATCTCTGGCAATGTGCCAGGTGAGGTCCCTCCCAGCTCCGGTCCATCAAGCAGCTTCTGCCCTCACCTTCTCGAAGACGCCGGCAGTGGCTGGGCAGCTGGAGGGGTCCTGGCACACACACATGGGTGAGTTGTTGTCATCCACCTCGCACACCTTGCCGTGCTTGCAGTGGTGGTTCTGGCAGGGGTCTGGAAGAGGGCAGGGAGCAAAGTCAGAGCCTGCCGCATCCCCACCTCCCACCAGCTGCCCAGGGCATCGCAGCCCACAGGCAAGACAGAGACTTCACCAGGGACAGCCCCAAGCATCTCTTCCTGCACTGGGAAGGTGTGAGGGTTTCCACATTAGCCTTTGGGCTAATTCTGGGCTTCTTTCTGTAGCCACACAATGCAACGGCTTTTCTGTTGCAAAAAAAAAAAAAAGGGCTCACAGAGAATCCAGTGCTGGAAAGAGGCCGTGCACCTCTTTTGCTTTTAAGTGTGCATCTAGGTTGGCATTGTCCTTGTGCTACAGCCCTTCCCAAAGAAGTCCCTCTCTGTTTGGGGTGGCTGAAGCCCGTCTGCTCAGGGAAGGGACGATGTCTCTGCCTGCTGGAGAGCGGGGAAGAGCGACTTACTCTCCGCAACAATCTCCTCTACATCTTCTGTGGGTTCCTCGAACTCTCCCACCTCCACCTGGACAGGGTTAGCCCCCACGGGCTCCTGCAAAAGGGGTCAGTGTTTCAGGTGGGGGTGCGCAAAGAGCTGGGCCCCATTCCTGGGGGAACAGAGCAGCCCTGTTGCCCCTGCTCCCCCATGCTTCAGAGGTGCTCTTTCCAGAGCAGTGGGTGCTACAAGGGATGGGTGAGGAGGAGGAGCAGGGTCACCTACCTCTGTGGTGGGGTCTTCGATGACCTCTGTCTCATCGGGCAGAGCCTCTTGCTGTGGGGGAAAAGGACCATGAGCCGGGGCCCGAGAGGAGGATTGTCCCAAGGCGGATGACCCACCAGGCAGATGGCAGGGCCACCCTTGGGTTTTCTCTCCCCTTGCTGCCCCCCATCCCTCTGGGATTTATTCGTTATAAAAGAAAATCCCCATCAGATGCGCTGGGTGGACAACCCCTGAGAGCAGAGAGGCTCCGTTGTCTCCCGTACTTACCGGAGCTGCCAGGGCTTTGCCTGCCAGGCAGAGAAGGAAGAAAATCCAGGCCCTCATCTTTCCGCAATCCCTGAATAAAGGAGAGGAAAAGGAGGGATGAGGAAGGAGGCCGCCGCGTGCCGCTCGGCTCCAGGCTGAGCTCATGGCTGGCGGTTTGACACTCAGAAAACGGCGTTCTCTTTGTTTCCTGCCTCGTCTGGCAATATTACAGCCCCACATGCTGGCTTTTCTAGCCAAAACCTTAAGCCAAATCATGTTCCCAAGACAAATTCTTTTGATTTTGAAAAATGAGACGGCGGGGGTTTAGATTTCTGGTGCTTTCCTGGATGCCTTTAGGAAAATTGCAGTCAAAATAGCAGCTCCCCTTTCCTTCACAGGAGGCTTTTTTTTGGACCAAAAAAACCATTTTTCATGTTAAAAGTCCCTGATATGAGCCCCAGGTAGAAGCAATGAAACTCCCTACCATTTTATTTGTCAAGCAGAGGGAGAAGGAAAGTGGAAGAAGGAAAGAGATAACAAAGAGAGTGAGACAGGGCACTTGATAATTAAATCCTTTAGAAAACCTCTTCCCACATGGACCCAGACATCTCTAGGGGTATCAGGGACCAGTCTCCCTTCCCCCGCACCCCCAAATGTTGGGGTCTCTACTATAGGTTTTTCCCTTTCCTGCCAAAAGGGACCTGAGGGTCCCCAAACTGGGTTTGAGGGATTCAGGAAACTTTGGGGTTGTGTTCTTCCAGGAGATGAGCTCCAGGAGGACGAGCACTTTGCACCCTCCTGATTTGGGCTGTCGCAGGGACTCTGTCGGATAAGCGAGTCAGGCACCCAGCTAACGCCGGCCGTGATGCGAGCCAGGAGAGCGCAGCTGGTGGAATCGCCCTGTCCTTGTCCCCCCTGCTTCCTGCCTGGCAGGATTGAGCCCCTCTGTGTGAGAGCAGAGAGGAGCTCAGCTGGCCGCTTAATATGCCGGTGGCATCCCACTCCTGCCAGCGAGGGCTGCCTGCTCCCTTCCGCCCGCCTGGAGAGCAAAACACCCCACATTTGTCTCCTGCCAGCGAGGGGACTTGTCCCCCTGCCAAGGCTTCCGCTGCCTCCCTTCCGCTCGCCCTCCTCCCCTCCACCTGCGTGCCCGGGGCATCGCAGCCCACCAGCTCCCTGGGGCTGGGTGGGTGGGTGGCTTTGCTGGGGCAGAAAGCGTTGGACAAGGTGTCGTCTTCTCTTCCAGCTAATTTACCTGTGTATCCTTTCCCTTCCTCCCCTTGCACTGCAGCTCTTGGGATGTGAAGCTGTGCTAAGGCTGTGCTGCCAGGGCACCAGCAAGGTTGGGCTGGGCTTGGCTTCCCAATTTAGCAAGGTTTGGTCACACAGAGGCTGAAATCCTCCTTCCCACCTCAGCACCTCACCCAGCCCCAGCGGGGTGTCCGTGCAAAATAGGTGTCAGGGCATGGGAGGCAGCTTCCCAGGGATGTCGGAGGGCTGGGAGCACAGGACAGTGGGATGGCTGCCGTGGAGGGACCTGTGGGGAGAGGGGCTGCCGGGAGGCATGGATGAGCCCCTTTGCTCTGTTAAGGCTGCAGTGAAGCAGGTCCCTCCTCTCCTGCTTGGTACACCCCGTCCCTTCCCGTCTCCTTTATTTGCTCTGGAGGCTGTGAAGAGATCACTGGTTCTTCGCTCCTCGAGGGCTAGTTTGGAGAAGAGGAGATGGAAAAGTACTGGTGAATCTGGCCGTCTCCTCCCTTGCTGCCGTCCCCTGGCTTGTAGAAGTTCCTCCTGCGCTTCTCCCAAGGGGCTTGTTTGCTTTGGAAGATGCTCTGAGGTTCAGTGATGCTCGTTGGGCAGAAATATGGCAGTGCCCAGCCCGGAGGAGAGGTCAGTGTGTGTGCACGTGGAAGATGGCATTCAGAAGAGCCCAACCTCAGACTAAGGCCCTCTCAGATCATTTCCCTAAGCCCAAAGCCCTGAATTTCAAAGTCTGGGCATGCAGCAAGCTGGGGTCAGAGAATTACGTGCTTTCTAGGATCCAGCAGACAGTCAGAGCTGCCAGTGTTGTGTTTGGAGGAAGAAGGAGCATGAAAGAGCCTGAGCAAACAAGCTCTGCAGAGCTGTCTCACGCCAGAGATGAGAAAACAAGTTTATTTGAAAAATAACATCCTCCTGAAGGCAGAGCCTGGGCACAGAGGGCATTGCAGCATCTGTGAGCACCTGGCTGTTTTGCAAAGGTATGGTCTTTTCTGAATGCCCAGGAGCCCTAAGCATGGAGCTGCTCTGGCAGAAGAGCCTGGCCCACTGTGCAAGTCACTGGTGCAAGTCTCCCTCTCTGTGGACCTACCATGGTCATGCTGTCCAAGAGGATGCTCTTTGGAGCTGGCAGCTGGGCCGTACCATGAACTCGGCATCCATCACCCAGCCAGAGGGGCTCGGGGGGATCCTGCACTGGGAATGCCTGGCACAGCTCTGTGGGAGCCCCACGGCGAGCAGAGGGCAGTGCCAGGGGCAGAGCACTGGGGCAGAGCAGGGGGTCATTTTGGACAGAGAAAAACAGGGCTGGGAAAGAGGTTTCAGCAAGCAGGGACTTACACCCTTCTGTATGCTAAAGGAATCGACAGAAGCCAGCACTTTGCAAGGCACACTGGAAACCAGCACATTGTGGGTGCAGAGAGGGCTGCTGAATATAAGTCTCCACGGTCACCACCCTGTCTTCAGGCCTGCCCCCCCTGGCTGCAGATCACCGAGGAGAGTGCCTGGCACCCATGGGCTGCAGGACCCCATGGTCTGTGCTGCCTTTCTGATGCTTGACCCCGACTTGCATCCTAAGTGAGGACTTCATCTCCCAGCGCTGTCTAAATACATCTCGTGGCTCCCACAAACCCCTCGGGATGGTTCACCATTCTAGCACGGCCCAGGCTGTCCCTCAGTTTGCAACTGCGTCCCTAACAAGAGAGCCATGGGGTGTGGAGAGGTCTGAGACTGACCCTCAGCACCTCCGTAAAGTCAAGGCAGGCTACTCTGGCAAGCTCTTTACTCCCAGCCCCCCAGTCCTATAGCACCATCATAAGTTCCTCCTGCTGGGGAAAACACCCCGCAGCCACGCACCGAGGAGGGTCTGTGCCACTGGGGTCTCTTTGGTCCCTCTTGTCTCTTCCTGCCCAGCCTGGGGTCCTTTGTGGGCTGGGGGAGGACCAGGACCAGGTGGGTGCAGCCTCCGAAGGAGGCTCCGTGGATGGTGGAGCGTGGCCCATGTGGCACTGGCCCTGGCCAGGATTGCATAAGCCCTTGGGGATGCCACGTTAGCACGGGGAGGAGTCTCTGTCTGGCCACTTTGGCAGCTCCTCCCTGAGGTCACCGGGATAACCCTGGCTGCCCCATGGCTAACCCGGGTGAAAGGCCCTGCTGCCACCTCCATGGCAGAGCAGGAGTGGGTGATCGTTGGGCAAAAACCCTCCCGCATCTCAGCTGCCTAATGGCACCACAGCCCAGCCACGCTGGGGACAGCCATGGTGAGCAGCGGGGGCTGCTGCGCCCACCCTCCCTTCGCCCGTTGCTCTCCCAAGGCTCTGCAGTCTGACATGCCCTGGCACCTCGGACTGCATACCAAGGCAGGACTGGCCCAGAAAAAGCTTCTGCCTACAAACCCCACTGTGGGCCATAGTTTTCAAGGTGCAGATGAGTGACCAAGTGTGGCCACCACAGAGACCCAATGCGAGGGCTGTGACCTCGCTGTGTGGCCCAGAAGCAAGCAAGACCCTCTGAGCTCTACCCAGCCAGCCACTCCCAGGCTAAAATTTGATTTGAAGTCGGAGCTGTTTGCGTGAGTCCCCCTAAAGCTCCCTGCCGAGCAGGTCCCTGCATGTCTGGGCTGTGCTGCTTGGGGGGCTGGCTCGCCCAGATGTGCTGCGACTGAGCTGGGTCCCAGGGGAGCAGGGCAGGAGCAGAAGGCTGGGGGGAAGCCAGCTCGGCCCCTACCACCTCCACAGTCCCCTTGCACACAGCGTGCAGGCTCAGGAAGCCAAACTAGGTTTAGATGGCAGTGAAATTCCCTTTAGCTCATGCACACACTTACACACTCCAAGTAAAACACCGGAAAAAAACCCTATCATCTACCACATCTGTCCACGAAGAGTCACTAAAGACACATCTACACCACAATGCTGCATTAACCCGTTCCCCTTGCAGGAGTTGAGCAGCTCTGAGTGCTCTTATAAATACTCCAGGTCTTACAGGGCTTATTGACACAAGGGCAAGAGCCCATACGCCACTGCAGCCGTGTGCTGGCTTGGAGCTGTCATAGTTTCTCTAAGTTGCAAATTGCATCCATAATGGGAAACGATTAAATTAGTACCAAGAAAAGCACAGGGATGAGACTTGGGCTGCAAGCAGTGGTTCAGAGATGAGCCTTTTGCAGACCTCAATGGGACAGACAGGCAATACAGCATTTTGCTCTCCTGCCTGAGCTTTTTCTTTTGCTTGGACTGGACACGGGGCAGTGCCAAAACCAGGCTGGATCCTTCTGTGCCAGGTGCAAGCGGTCCCTCTGGCTCCTGGGGCTGCAGTAAACTGATCTCGCACAGCTTCACAAAGGAGGGAGAGAAGAAACTGTCTGCTAAATATGCTGCAAAAATGCAAACCATCTTCAAAGCATTCCCTGCACTCGCCCTGCCGCAGCCGCTCCAGCGATAACAGCCCCGACATCCCTCCGACCAGAGGACCCAGAAAGGGTTTCCATGGGAGCCGACATTCCTATGGGGCTGAGTCATGGAAGAGCAGAGGGTTGTGGAAGGAGGGGCTTGAAAAAAAAAGTTTGAAAAGTTTATTTCTCCTCTTCCCCCTCCCAACACCGCCCGCATCCCTGCTCCTGCCGATGTGGCAGACAATAGCTTGGCTTTAACTGCTGCGCAGAACGTGACGGCCTTTTATTTCCACTTAAAACTCGCCTGATCGACCCCAACAAACAGCTGCGATTCGCTTTTGTCCTTTTGGAGAGTTTTTGGGCTCTTTCAAGTTGGTAGTAACTGAGTGCTGGAAGCACTGGCCTCCTTGCCGGTGCCCCCCCGTTTCACTCCAACTTGAAAGTGTTGCCTTTTGGTTTGGGTGGGAATTCAGCCCCCATCCTGTTGTTTCCTTTTCTTGGCTGGATGCAACAAGAGTGGAGCTTTCTTAGAGGAGGGACACAAAGAGCAGAGTTAGACAGCCACGAACGTCACTGGGACGGGAAGGACAGCGGCTGCCTTTAAAGGAAACAAGCCCTCAGCTCTTCTACCTGGACCTCGAACTGTGCCTGACTGAGCCCAAGTTTTTAAAACTTTAAAAGAAACAACCCCAAAAGAGCTTTGTTCCTCCTTTCCTGCGACTCCGTCTCTCTAACAGTTGATCAGCTGGATTTACACAAATGAGGGCAGCAGGACTTGAAACGGTTTCAAAGTCTGCATGGAACAAAAAGCCGAGTGTCTTTCTTTGGAGAGGGGAGAAATAAGAGCGGCTGTACTGAAAAAAAAAATAAATGCTGAGATGAAGTCGACAGCTCTTTTGTTCTTCCTCTAGATACTCCGGTGAGTAAAACAGCACCTGCCAATGCACCTCAGGCTGGGCGTTACCGGGACTGGTTCGTAACTAGATCTGATTTGCTCTGCAGGTTGGTTTGATGTGCTCAGACGTCGCCAAGGAAATACCCCACGACTGACAACCCAGAGGGGGAAAAGGGAGGAGAGAGGAAAATTAGAGCAGGTTAAAGCTTTACGGTCAGATGCCGCTGCAGTGTGAAAGCTGGTAAGTGGCAGTGAAAGACAGTAACAGACTCAGTTAAGGAGCAGAGATGCTGGCAAGAGGAAAAAGAGAAGAAGTCAGGAGAAGTCTCTCAGTGCTTTGCGCAGGGTGGGGAGGTGGGTGCCCTGGGACCCCGACTGATGCATTACTGAGCACCAGCTGCACCCCATGGGCTGGGAGAGTGGCTCCCGGGCCAGGGACCCCCACGAGTGGGGCTACTGGGATCCCGATGCCAGGAGAAATAGTGCAGCAAAGGCAATCGCGAAGGTCTCGGGCCATACCTCGCAGTCCCGGCAGCAGGGCTGAGGAAACTTCAGGCTCTTAGACGGGCTGGAGGAATCTGCAGGTTTTAGAAGGAGGCAGGAGGAAGCCAAAGGGTGGGCTGGGTTTCCCGCTGCCTCTCCTCCTCCTCCTCTTCACTATCTTTCCAAATCCGTCTCTTCCTCTCCCTCTCTCCCCAGTGGGCAGTCCCAACCGCCCCAAAGACAGGCTGAGGCGCAGCCTGGCTCCAAAGGATAGACCAGAGAAATCAAGCGGAGCTGGAGATTGGGGAGGGGGGGTTCTCTGCAGGGACAGATCAGCCCCCAGCACAACCCTCCCAGCAGAGCCATTGTCACAGCTGCTGCCTGCACTGCTGCAATGAGTTTGTCAGTTCTCTGGCTGTCTCAGACTAACAGCATGGGGGGACCCGGGAGGAACATCATCTCTCTGCTTGGTTTGTGCACCTCCTGGCACCTTGGCCTACAGCAACTAAAATGTTAAATGCTGTCGTTTCACAAGTCCCTGAGCAGGTGTTTCCCATCCTCAAAGGGATGTAGAGGAAGGCAGGAGAGTCCTCACTCCTCCATCCCCTCTCCTAACACTGCTGCCATCTGGGACTGCCCTGTAGGGGAGGCAGAGGAAAGAATGATCCAGAGAATGTGGAGAGTTATGACACGTCTGAAATATGCTCCAAGTAGACAGAGAATTGCTGGGCTGGGAGATGTGACCCTCAGCAGACTGGTCTCTCTGCCGTGATTATTGTCCAGCAGATCTGGACTGATTGAGCAAAACCCACAGCCAAAATTGCCCATCAGTTGAATCCGATGGTCTCTTCAGACATCACTAAGTATTTTGACCTTACGGATCATAAGTCAGCTGGAGCAGAGGCAGCCAGACAGCAAAACGTTTCCCATCTGTTTCTCTCGATGCTCAGGGTGAAAACCCAGCCCCTCTCTCCTTGCATCTCCCCATGACCGAGAGGATTTAAGGTTCATCTGCTCCCCTGGCCGGACCAGACAGCGTGCCTTTATGCGCCAGCATGGCCACGGTGCTGCATTACAAAGCACAACCAGCAGCCACAAGGAGAGACTGCCAAATTGCTGGAATTTGGGCATCCTTGAAGAGCCTCTCCAGGATGTACGGGGCTGTCCTGAGCGCTGCACATAGTCCAGCTCTTTGCAGCTTGTGATCCACCTGTGGCACCAACACTCACCCCATCCAGGGCGACGCAAGGTTGGTCTCCAGAGGCTGCTGGAAAGATGATGGTGTGGCTCGTGTAGCCAGCAGGACTGAGGACAAGTCATCTGGGCACCAGCAGTCTGATTGCAGATGCTGGGTGAAGGACACCCAAGACCATAACAAAAGGCGACATCGTGTTTTGTCTTGGCTGCCTGGGGTTTGGGTTGGTTCCTCCTGATTACATACTGTCTTTGAGGGGCTGAGACACCGATCTGGGTACTTAACTCTTCCCACTGATGTTGCTGAGGATTTAGATGTCAACATAGGAACTGGGCTGTCCCGACCGGCTGGGCTGTGCCGGCTCCTTGCTCTGTAGGACGCCTGTTACTTTGTGATTTGCGATTCTTTATCAGCTCACTCCTCATCCGGCCTTGCAGCACTTCTGCTGCACATGAAAGAAACAGATGTGAGACTAAGCATCCATTTGGCCAACAAGAAACAAAAAATGAACAGATAGAAAAAAAAATAAAACAGAAAGGGAAAGGGAAGGGGAAAGATAGGGGCCATGAGAAACCATCATCACTTCCCAGTAAGATGATCAGGCAGCCTGAGAGGCTGGCAGCAAAGAACAAGAGAAGAAAGTCGTCTTCACTCGTTTCTTTACTTGGCTACACACCACTCAAAAGCCATCCCTGGGTGGATATGTGGATGTTGATATCACTCATAGGGACATCCATAAAGACCTCACGTGACCCTCCTGTGTCCATGTGCCGGCCAGCTTTGGGATGGTGTCTAAGGCCCCATGGATCCTTCTAACGCAGCCAACCACCCGTGGCATCTGGAGCATCTTCTCCTCCCACCACAAATGTCTGTAGCTCCCGTGTGCAGGTCAGTGCCACTTGTAGGTCCACTTTGGCTCCAGAGGTCACACGTCCCCTAAGCCCAAGTTTCATTTGCTTGATTCGCACCCCGAGGAGTTGAATGCTCTCGTTGAATGTTCTCTGAGCTGGATTAGTCACGGCTCGCATTGAAATCGTACAGCTGCTGGTACTTCTCCTAAGGAAAAAAAAAAAAAAAAGACATCTGGAAAAAATTTTAGGGAGAAAAAAAAAAAAGAAGAGAAAGGAAACCACGTCTTTTCTAACTGACAACGTGGCAACTGCTTAGTGCTCTTCACTGTAGCCTGAAGCTAAGCCCTCTTCTAAGGGCTTAGACAAATGACAGTGCCAGGAAGATAATTATAACAGGGATTTCTTTATATACGTGGCGGCTTAAACTCTGGTTTTGAGCAAAAGCAAAAAGCAGCCTGCTGCAGTGATGCAGGCACATCTGGAAATGGCCCCCACAGCTCACCCCCCTCACCGCCGTGAACCCCGGGTGGGTGGGAGTGAGGGGTCCTCATGGTCCTCCGTGCACATGATGGGGACAGCCAGGTCATGCATCTTGTGAGGGGACGCTGCCAGCCCCTGGCGTGAGCCGTGGGAGGGAAGGGGCTTGCGTGGAGAGGGAAACGAGAGCCTGGAGCAACTGGCTGACTCTTTAATCTCAGCAGTTTTAGGAAGCTCCAGAAACGACTGAGAGCTTGCAAAGGGAGTCCTGAAAAGTCCTCTCCACACTTACAAGGCTTAGTGGGGCTGTCAAAGAGGAGATGTTGGTGTCAGGCTGCCAGGAGGCAAACTGGACCTCACACATGCAGAGAAGGTCTTCTGGGGTGCTGGATGGGCAGGAGATCGCCCAAGGGAGCTCATCAGCCCCGGGAGCCCTGGCAGAGCTGCCAGCCTCGCAGGTCCAGCTTGGGCCCCCCGACCACATGCCAGGGGTTGGTTCAGGCACAGCCGATGCACCCCAGGGCTCCTGGCACTTGCTCCCAGCTCCAGTGACTGCGTGAACTCCGATGGAAACCGTAAACAGGACAAGACCCGTCGAGGCTCGAGCTCAGTTTACAGCAAAGCCAAGAGGTTTGCTGGGCTGAGCTTTAAATCCAGCTCAAAATTCAAATGTCTTCATCCCATTTTAAGCTCGGTTGCGCAGATGTGGGCTGGCAAAGTCAAGAAAACCTTGGTGCTCTCCAAGAGGGGAACAATTCCGCTGTGAGAGGAGAGAAACACGAGTGAGCAGCTTGGTGGCAGCGATGCAAGTGTGGATTAATAATCCTGCTGTTTCCTACCCACAAATGTGTCAGTCTAAGAAGCCTTTCCATCTCTCTGCTCTGGGAGGGATTTGCTAATGAGTTTTTCTGGAGGATGTTTCTCCCTTAATCGCTGGTGGATGCTGCTGCAAAACAATGAACCTGAAGTGCACATAAATAAACAGGATGCCCCGCAGCCACTGCGGGGATGTCATTTACTAAAGTCTTCATGGCTGGGTGTGTGGCTGGGGGCTGAGCGTGGCGAAAGGCTCAGCTTTTCTGAGCGTGGGGAAAAGCTCAGCTCAGCTGCTCCAGTGGGAAACCAGCAGCCAGCTCAGGAAGAGGTGAGTGGGACGAGAAAGTGCAGAGCAGCCGGGAATCTGCTTATCCCAGGAATGTCCCAGCTCTCCTGCTATCGGCGAGTGTGTCGGCAAGTTCTGCAGGAGGGTTTCTGGTTGTTTTTTTTTCCATTTTAGAAGCAGATCAGAGGCAGAAAGACTGTGCTCTCTAGACTTGCACTGAGCAGGCCTCATGGCCGCAGGAAGCACCAACTGCACAGGGCAGGATGAACCCCAACTGTCCTGGCAACATGGCCAAGGGTGGCTGTCTCTGTTCTGCATGGGGCAGGGACTTCTCCACAGTGGGATGGGACTCTCCCCCATAGGCTCAGCAGCAGGACTGATGCCTGGTCCAGATGGAGCAGATTGACACCCAGCCAAGGTCTCTTCCAATGCCTGGACCGGGAGAGCTTGAGCCTCCGTGTTCTGCAGATGGACTAGGGGTGAGTGGACTCAATGGGGCAATGCAGACCACGGGCACGCTGGTTCTGTCAGAAGGAGATGAAGAAGGAGGCATCACAGATTTTCAGCTGTAAACCAGAGGCCTTCGGGGCAGGGGGTGGAAATCCAGCTGTGCATGGCTCTGTGGTGAGTCACGACCTGGGAGCAGGCTGTGGAGCCAGGAGGCAGGACATGTTTGCTGTGGGATGGCTTGCTTTTCCATGGTGTGTGTGGGCTCTCACAGCTGTCCCCTGGGATCTCTGATGGAAGGCACTCGCCATGCCCCATGGGAGGGATCTCTCTTCCCATCTCTTTCAAACTACCCCTGCGATGATCATCTCGCTTGGAAACATGTGGGGCTGCAGACTTGGGAGAAGCTTTTCTGTCCTCCCTGAAATCAAACTAAGCCCAAAGAAGCAGGGGAAAAAAAAAATCCATCACCTTCCTCAACTGTGGTGCAAACAGGGAGCTCCGTGTGCTGCAGCCACCCCTACACTGCCCTGGATGCCTCTCGTGGGCACCAGGTCTGAACATCCCAGCTGTGCCTGCTCCCATATGATAATTGCAGTCTGGTGTCTCAGCCCAACTTCACTTGTACTCGAGACCTTGCGTTGGAGACGTGCCTATGACTTGCAGAAGATGCAATAAGACTTCCAAGGGAGAAGCGCAGCAAACGCCGCTAACTCTGGGCAGTCCCACCTTGCTCCTGGTGTTTACCTAAAATGCACTTTGGAGTCCTCTTGGGCCTGACAGATGCGGCTTGGCAGCTTTTGAAAGCTATGAATAGAGCTGCTTAAGGAAATAAACAGGAATCCACCTTCGACCCTCTGGGACATGCGGGAGAGGGAAGCTCCCGGGCTGCAGTGGCAGCTCTTTTATATGGATAAACACAGCCTAAAAGTGTCTCCTAAAAGAGAGCCTTGATGGGAGTGCCCAGGTGAAGCTGTGCCAGCTCCAGGACATCCAAATGCCATCTCGTAAGCAGTGGCAATAACCACAGGTGAGGGAAAAGACCCGAAAAGCAAATGCCAGGGTTCACAGGGCTCTCTGGGACCAGCTGCCTCTGCTTTTTTGGGTCATCTTAGAA